AATGCAGTTTGTGTTTGTCTAAGTCCATGATTTCCTTTCGTATGGTAGTAAATTTACAGTCTACATGCTCCATGTCTACTGAAATAAACATCAAAATAAGATTCTATGTTTATGATTCTCTGTTTGCTAGCCTTTTTTTCTCTCTTATTTCTTACATTTTTTTCTTTCTAATGTACATAATCGTACAACTTCTTATAGCCCTTGAGCGATAATCCACATAAGATATAGATAACGTATCTAACTATATATATCAGCGAATTTCCTTGCGAAAGTAATGATAATGAGTAAATGATTGACATCCACGGATCTGTCTTGTACCTTGCGATATCGTTACAGAAGAGAGATCATTATCATCGTTATCAAGATGATGGTGATTACTGTCATTATTATTATTATTATTACTATTGTTGTTGTTGTTGTTATTATTATTACTATTATTATTATTACTATCATTATTAGTCTTTCTATCATCATCATTATTATTACTATTATTATCATTATTATTACTATTATTATCATCATTATCATTATCATCGTCAGTATTATTATGATTATCATTTTCATTATGGTCATTATAATTATCAATATTATCATCATCACCATCAGCATCATCATCTCTATCATTATTGTTTTTAGTTGTTATCATCATTAGTCATATGAAAAATAATGATAATAGCATTTAATGATGGTAAAAATAACAACAACAGCAATGATAATGATGATAATAATGATGATGATAATAATATTAACATCAGTTATGGTGATAATAATGATAAAGATAATAGTATTGATAATGATAGTAAAAACGATAATGGTTATGATAATGATACCGATAATAATGATGATTGTGATAATGATAATGATAGCAATAATAGTAATGATAGTATAAAAACAATAATGATAGTAATAATGATGATAATAATAATAACAACCATAATTGCTATAATTTTTATCATTATAATCATCATTATTAATGTTATTAATATTAGTATTGTCATCATTATCATTGTTAATATCATTGTTGTTATTATTATCATTATCATTACCATTATCATTGCCGTCATCAACACCATCATCATCGTTATCATCAGCATTATTATCAACATCATCATTACTATTTTTAACATTATTATCAGTATCATCGTCACTAACTTTATAACACTATCATTACTATTGCTCTTTATTACTATCATCGCCATTTAATCACGATGACTACTAATAACAAAAATAGTATAGACTGAAATAGCACTTAGTAAGGGTAATTCCCGTAGTCTCAATTGCAGTGCAACAGAGGTACAATTTGCCGCATACCTGAACAGTATAGACATTTTGCTAACCTAGGAGTGCTATTTACCGTCTCGGCAGTTCGCGAATGCCGGAATTCAAAGACATACAGCATTTGGGTCTTTTCTCCATTATTTAGAAGGATAAATTACACTGTGAGGCGCTAGGAAAACGCTCCGGAGGTATATATCGACGCGGTGGTAATGATCAGGTAGGAGGCGGTAAATCAGCGCTGCCGCAGGGGTTGAGGACGGGGCGAGTTACGCGAACGGCCATTCGATGAATCCGCGCATGCTGGATTACCTCCTTTTTTTCTTTCTTTTTTTCTTCTTTATTATCGTGTTCAAGGGTTACAAGATTGGTACGGAGGATTTTTTTCTCTCTCTCTTTCTTTCTCTCTTTCTTTCTTTTCTTTTCCCTTCATTTTTTTTGAAGACGAAATCATGTTTATTTTTACTTTACGTCCAGCATATTCTAATTAGCTACGTGCCCCTCGATAATGAAGATTTCCTCCTTTTTGCACGCCTTTCCGTATGGCTTTATCTATCCATTTATCCATTTTACGTAATTCTTGTAGTTATCGCTACTGCTTATGACTTTCAGTTTACAAAATAGTGATATATCATCCTCAACTTAATCCATCAAGCACTGTGATTGATGATTGGCACTTGGCTTTCTATCAAGGCGGTTTATGGTTGCTATCGATATTGCAGAACAACAGGAGGAAGGTCGGATTCTCTCTCTCTCTCTCTCTCTCTGTCTTTCTCTCTCTCTCTCTCTCTCTCTCTNGTCTTTTAAACATTGCGGACAGTATCAAAACTTTCATAAACTCAATTATAGTTATTTTCTAATTGATATAAATCAACTTTAAACTTATGCAGTTTTATTAGATAATACTATGTTCTACTAAATTTTTATATTATAATACATACTACTATATATATATACCTTGATATATATACTACTATTTTTATAGTATACTAACTCCGCTCGATTTGTCAAGTAGCGGTGTGGTGTGTTGTTGTGTGTTGGTGTGTGTGGTGTGTGTCGAAGATGTGTTAGGTGTGGTTTGTTGGTGTTGTGTGTGTGTGTGTGTGTGGTGTGCATTTAAGTACATATGCATCTGTGCATCTTTATTTGTGTAAGTCTTTCCATTACTATGTGTACGTAATCATCTATGTATCTGTTTTATAAACGGATTTGTAGAAGTACTTTACATAAGCACGTACGTATCTGTGTGTGTTTACAGCGCGCCGCACAATAGCGAGGTCCAGGTGCCACAGCTGTTTTCCAGTGCCTGTCAACACACCTTTGATATTGCTGACGTGACCTTTGTATAACAAGCTTTTTTCAGAACTCGATACAGTTTCACCTGTTTGTAAATGGCGTTTTACAGCTTATATGTTTGTTTGTTTGTTTTTCTTTATTTAATTATACTCTTCACGCGAGTTTTCTGTGAAAGAGGATGGAAGAGAAGGATGAAACTTAGAGAAATGTAGAGGTGAGAGCGGTGATGGTTGTGAATGTCAAAGTGTGTCACAGAACGGCTTAATTACTTAAATATATGATTAATCACATGATTAATTATGTAGGATGGCTTTGCCCTCACCATTTTTTTCGATAATGAATTACATGTTCATCGGAATAATATTTACATTTATAATTCCACATGAACGTAAAAAAAAAAAAAAAAAAAAAAAAAATCATCATATAAATCCATATATCTATCTATCTATCTATCTATCTATCTATCTATCTATCTATCTATCTATCTATCTATCTATATATTATATATATATATATATATATCTATATATATATATATATATATATATATATATATTATATATATATATCTATATATATATATATACAGTGTCTTGGAAACTACCGAACGGTTTCTAATATTTTATGTATGTATTTATCTTCGTGGATGATATGTTATGCACGGCTTATGAAATGCCATGAGCCATGCAACGCTTTTGCAACATGATACAACATGTTGAAAACTAAAGTGCGGTGTTCCATTGTGGTCGGTGTGGCTGATTGTTGCCATTGACTCTCGCTCTCCATATCTGTCTATCGTATCTATTTATTTCTCTCTCTCTCTGTTCTCTCTCTCTCTCTCTCTCTCTCTCTCTCTCTCTCTCTCTCTCTCTTCTCTCTCTCTCTCTTCTTCTCTCTCTCTCTCTCTCTCTCTCTCTCTCTATCTGTCTGCTCTCTCTGTCTTTCTTTATCAGCCGACTCCTCTCTCTATCTCTCTGCCTTCTCCCTCCCTCCCTTCCACTCTGTCTCTCTCTCTTCTCCCTTTCTCTCTCTGCCCACTCCTATCTGTCTCCCTTCTCTCTCTATCTGTCTGTTCCACTCCCCCCCCTCTCTCTCTGTATGTGTGTATGTCTGTCTTGCCCTCCCCCCTCTCTCTCTCTCTCTCTCTCTCTCTCTCTCCTCTCCTCTCTCTTCTGTCTGCTCTCTCTGTCTTTCTTTCTCATCCTCCCTCTCGTCCTCCCCCCCCCCCCTCTCTCTAACCCATCCTCCGTTTATCAATCAGTCTACCTCTCCCACCGTCTACCACCCCTCATCAGAGGATGGCATCAACCGGCCCTGTCCCCGCGAGGGTGTCAGCCAGCGCTGTGGTTGGCAGTGCTGACTCGATCCACAATGGCCTGTCGCAGCTCCTGACGGCTGCGTTGTGCGAGTTGCAGGGTCGTGTTGCGTCGCCGAAGGATGACTTCTGGGTCGCGGGGAGAAGTCGCCATGCGGGGTCATCGCACACACAAGCGGAAAAAAACACACATACAGGCGCCTTACACACACACACACACACATATAAGTATGGGCTGTGTGTGTGTACATGTGCGAGTGTGTATTTGTGCTTGTATTTTGGCGTGAGTGTCATGTGTTTATGTGCGTGTAGAAGAGTGCCATCGCACACACAAGCGGAAAAACACACATACAGGCGCCTTATACACACAAAACACACACGTCACATGCAAAGTAATTGCAGATACACGGAGATCACGCACGTCATCGCGCACGCACACGCACACGCACACACACGCACACGCACGCACACACACACACACACACACACACACCCCAACCCAACCCAACCCAACAACACTCTTAAACAAACATTTACATGCCTGCCCTAGGTATATGTATGTATCTATGTGCGTGCCTATGTGTGCGTGGGGGTCCGTGTGTACAGAGAAAGGGGGAGGCGTTTAATCTCTTTTATGCAGTCTTTGTTTTATGGTTTGTGGCTCATGTTAAAATTATGAGGAAGAGAGGGGAAGGAGGGGGAGGGGGAGGAGGAGATGATGATGATGATGAGGAGGAGGTGGAGGAAGGGGAGGATGGAGGTGGAGGAAGGGGAGGAGGAGGTGGAGTGGGAGGAGAAGGAAGAGGAGGAGGAGGAGGAGAAGAGAAAGGGGAGGGGAGGAGGTGATGATGATGATGAGGAAGGAGGTGGAGGAAGGGGAGGATGAGGTGGAGGAGTGGGAGGAAAGGAAGAGGAGGAAAAGGAGGAAGGGGAGGAGTAGGTGGAGGAAGGGGAAGTGGGAGTGGGAGGAGAAGGAAGAGGAGGAAGGAGGAAGGGAGGAGGAGGTGGAGGAGGGAGGAAGAGGTGGAGGAAGGGGAGGAGGAGGAGGAGGAGTGGGAGGAAGGAGAGGAGGAGGAAGATGGTGATGATGAGGATGAACAGGAAGAGGAGTAGG